TGTTATTTTCATATATTGTATATTGTGAATAGAGTAAACATGGCTGTGCAAGTATCTCTGTGGTATGCCGACTTACAGTCCTTTCAAAGTGTATATACATAAGCCATCAAGGTAAGCCCTGTGGTACTTCTAGTTAAATTATGGACATATTCTATAGTAATTTCTGTGGTGGTTGTATCAATTTGTGTTCTTACCAGCCCCATACATGCTATTCTTCCCTTACATTCTCAAGAATGTTTGTGTTCTACTTGAGGGTGTTTATCCTGGAAAGGTAGTGACTATTAAATCTGTTTTTATTTGTTTTCATCTCACCTAATAATTCTTAAGTTAAAAAAATCATTGGTAATCTGTATTTATTCTTTTGATAACTATCTTCTCAATTCATTTCGCGATGTAAAGATTGGATGGTTTAATTTTTTCCTGTTTCACTTTTAGAACTTACACTTTAAATAAAACCCCCTTTCTTAGAGGTAAAGTTTGCAAAGATTTTCTCCCATTTTTATGCTATTTCTTCTCTCTGATGACTGATTCTTTCACCATTTGTAAAACTGACTTTAAAGTGGATTAAACACCATTATGTATTAAAGACATGAAACTCCGAAGATGGTAGAGACAATACTTCAAAATACATGCATTTTGAGGGATTTTTCAAGTGGACTACAGTCAAGGACAGTGTTATTCCCATAATTGACCATGGACTACACAAAATTGAGACACTTCTGAGCAAGGAATAGCATTGATCTATTTTCTTAGGTTAACTGTGCCTATCATGGCCCCTTATGTTTCCATACAAAGTTTAGTATTGTATTTTCAGGTTTTTAAAAAAGAGGTCATTGATATTTTAATAAACATTATATTGAATTTTTATACCGTTTTGGTTAAAATAGCCATTTCAAACTATAAATCTTCAATCCCCAAGTTTTTCCCTATCTTAGAAGTTCTTCAATATATATTTTCATTGTTTTATCCTTCTTTAATATAGACATCTGTACCTAGTTAAGTTTATTATTACATATGATATTCCATTTGTTGAGGCCAGTATGAGTTGGGTATGTTCTGATTAATCTACAGTGAAGTAAATTTTGGTCTGTAGAAGAGCACTGAGATTTTTCTTTGGTCTGTGTTGCTATTAAATTAAGCTACTTTCTCAAGGTGTTTAGTCAGATGTAAGGGTGAGTGTTCTTGTTCACTTTAGTTCTTTAATTATAGAATCACATTATCTGCAATTTAAATGTGTTGCTTTTATTTTAATTTTAACCTTTTCTTTCTCTTTTTACTCTAGCTAAGAGTTTGAGAATTACATTGAATAAGAGTTCAAAGAGTAGATTCCCTCATCTCATTTTAGATGTCATACAAACTAAACTGGTCTTTCCTTATACACTGCAAATTGGACTGCAGACTATCATATTTCTCCTCTATTTCATTATAAGGAAATGTTGAAATTTGCAAGAGGAATCTCTTTGTCTACTGTGATGGCCATATAGATTGGATTTAGTAGACGCTTTACCTACTGTATTACTTTGTTGATTTATAACTGGACAGCCTTGGATGTTCAAGTGAAAATACTTTGGCAATAGTTAATGATATTTTATTCTGTTGTTAAATTATACTACAAATATCTTATTGAAAATATTTACATGTATGCATATAAAAGAATTTTTGTTTGTTGTTTGCTATTTTGTCTAATTTTTGGTATTAAGGTTACATGTCTTCATAAACTGAGTTTGGTATTGTTTTATACATTTGTATTTATTATATATTTTGAGGAACATTGTTGTCAACTCTCCTTTAAAGATTTGGAACAATTTAGCTTTCTTTCTTTCTTTCTTTCTTTCTTTCTTTCTTCCTTTCTTTGTTTGTATTTTTAAGACAGAGTTTCTCTGGAACCTGTCCTGGAACTAACTCTTGGGCTCAAACTCATAGCAATTCGCCTGCCTCTATCTCCCAAATGCCACCACCCAGCTTAATATCTGTTTTCTTTGTTGATAGGATTCTTCCTTAATATATCATTGATGAATCTTTTTGAATTTGTACACTTCACAGGGAAGTATTTGGAGACCCGTGAGCAACTGGAGAGAGAACAGGGGATAAGGAAAGTAATGTAAACATATTTTAATTCAAAATATATAATTAAACATTAGAAATCTCAAAAAAGAATGCATATACTTGATATTTTGAATAAAATCCCAATTTACCTTATCCTCACTTCCATAGTTTTTCCCATAATTTATTCATTTATTGACTAATCTCATCTTAAATGCATAGATCTTTCAGTCTTCATTCTACATCTTTCTCAACCAATAGTCATGGCCTGCTAATATATGCATGTCTGTAGTGTGTGTGTGTGTGTGTGTGTGTGTGTTGAGGACATAAAATACAATTTCTTTTAAAATGAGTATTGCTTATTTATAAATTCCTTATAGTAAATACTTGTGAGCATAAATTAACAACTCAGTGGTAAGATTACTGATTATGATAATTTATTTCCTATTTATCTGATAAAACAATAAAAAAGCTATTGTCATTCTGGGGGTCTAAAATTCCACATTTCTCTTGTCTTATTGCTTTGTCTGAGACTTCAAACATTATATTAAATGAGAGTTGAGAAAATGGAAACCACAATTTTCTTCTAATTTTGAGAAAATGTCAGTTTTTTCCTACATAGTTGATATATATTTCTCAGTTGTAGCTTCTTTTATGTTGAGGTATATTTTTTGATTTCCAGTTTACTCAGATTTTTAATTTATTTTTCCTTTGTGAAGAAATATTGAAAATTGTCTCACAGTTTACACACACACACACATACACACACACACACACACTATCTTCCCTGTAAATTAATCATATTTGGTGACATTTTTATTATGTTTTTTGATAGAAAAGTATTTAATGGTTATTTTATTGGAAATGTCCCTTATAGACCTATGTATTTGATCTCTTGGTCCCCCAGTTGGTGACAATGTTTGGAAATGTTATGGAGCAAATAGCAGAGGTGAAGACTTGATGGTGGCAGATTTAGAGCTTTTATGGACTAGCTCCTTTCCTCATCTCCATTGTTTTGCTCTCTGTATGTGGATGAATATGTGATCAAGACTTTTTGGATTCTACTATCATGCTCGCCTTTGCTGCCATGATCAACCCTACCATTCTCTACCTGAAACCCAAAATGCACTCCCTTTTTTGCTTTAGGTGCTCTTGTCAGGGTGTTTTTTTTTCAGCTAAATAGGATATAAATTAATTAAAGAGTAGTTGCTGTATTAAGTATCTTTTAAGCTATTCCTTATGAACATTTCCCCACTGTCAATGGCTCTCCAAAGTTTTGTCTAGAAATAACAGAATTCAGTTAAGATGTCACTATATGGTAGAGGGTTAAACCATTAACCCCTCAAATTGTACCCAAATTTTTAAATTCATACTTAGAATGAACAGATTCCATAAAATTAAGGTGCTGTTTATTGCCAAGTCCCCTCCCTTTAAATGCCATGCTCTGTCTTAGAAAAATGCATGAATCTGTGGGAGAAATCTACTTTCAAAGCAGAGTAGTATTTGATATTATTAACAGAAAATGTCTGCTAAATAAATTTGTTTGGGTTTCAACATACTTTGCTGCTGCTTATAGGATGAAGAGTAGAATATATCAGGGTGAGTTGATATTTTGCTTGTATCCAAGAAGTAAGAGAAAGATTGACAGATTAATTTGGGGCATGTTATGCTGTGCTCTGAAAGACTGTGATCATCAACGTTACTGGCAAGAATTGGATTCAAATAAAAGAACTGTGGCAATGAGAGATGAGACCAGTTTGTGTGGACAACTTTAACTACGAAAAGTCTCTTTTTTTTTCCTTAATCTGGCAGACAATTTTCTTTTAAATTCTGACTTTCAGATTTTCTGAGTTCTATTTGTCTCTGGATTGTATCCAATCAATAGGTGAAAGTAAAGCATACTTCTAATGTGATGAACATTTTCATGAAATGAAATAAATAGTAATGGGTATGGCTGGAGAATGAATGATAGAATTTGTTATTACAATTTAAAATTTAAGTAGACTCAGGTTTTCACAATGGTTAGTATTCTAAGGGTATCTTTTAAATCAAATCCTATTTTTACTTGAATTTCAATCTAACTTAATGTGTATGAAAATTTTGAATTAGTTCCCATTGTCTAGAAATCTGCAAAACCTATGGTATACATCATATAACAACCTGACAACCATATAATATTTGATGATCTGAGCTGGATAGAGAGGATCTAAAACAATAAAAGCAGAAGACAAAATCTGGAAGAAGGAGGGAACAGAAACATTGAAGAATGGATCATATTTGTCTTTCTAACTCTGTGACTTCAACCACCTGAGAATGACAGGAATACAAGAGATGAGATAAAGTTGAAATTGTCCCTAAGAACCCTCTTTACACCAAGAGTGAGGAGAGCGTATGCTTTACATCTAAGTTGGTGAAAAAAGATGAGAATTCAGAGGATCGTGGTTAAAGACAGTTGCAATGAAGCCTAGGGACACTTCATGTTTATATCCTCATGTTTCAGACTTTTTGAAAAAGTCACAGTGCTTAGAGACAGTCCAGTTGCACTGTAATACTATTATCTGTGGATGTTCCTCAAGTGGCGGGGGATAGAGAGTGGCTGGCTTTCATAATGTAGGCCAAGATCTCCATGTTTATGAGATTTGGCTGGACTAATGAATAGCAATATCATTCTTTGATTTTCACCGATTCACTCAGGTAACATTTTGTGATTCTAAGGTTATATCTTCTGAGGTTTTTTTTTTTTTTTTTTTTTTTTACAATAATTCAGCAATATTTTTAGTAGGCTTTGAATTAAACAAAAGGTATCTTCACTAACTTGGTTAGACATTTCAGCTTTAATTTCTAAAGAACAGACCAATTACATGCAAGCACAGGTTTAACATATAAATATGTAAAAGAAGCTTTGCATGAGTGCTTCTTTGAGGACCATCACTGAGGCAGAAGGAAAAGATGTGGTCTCAGCAGCGGCTTTTGAGCATTCGGCACTTCAGGAGCTTCAGATACATTTCCACGTCATTGGAGTCACTTCCCAAGCAGCGAAACAAGTTATAAAAGGCAAAATATCTAGTGTCTCTATAGGGCGACTGCAAATGTTCCAATTCAGACCAGAGTGGGGCATTCACATTTCCTCCAAGAGCAAATTTAGCCTAGTTATGAAAATAATAGTTAAGCATTAATTATAGATGAGATTTGGGATCCTATTTCTTCTACATGTTAAATTCAGTTTTATGAGAAGTTAATATTGTAACATTCAGTCAAACCCATGCATTTTCATCTATGTGGGAGAGGACTTAAAATATGCTAGTCATTTAAAACTAGAAATGGGACCGATTGATATATTGTGTGGCATGAAATTGATGTCCCCTGAAGTTTGTTTATTTGGGGTGTTGTAAATCTGGTTCCCAATTGAAAAACTTTCCCCAAAACAAAGTGGCAGTTTCAAAAGACTCAAAAGAAAAATCCACAATTTCATGTTGGGGAGTACATTCTTTAAAGATTCTCAAGGCTCTACCCATCTTTAGAGACTCAATAAACAACTTCTAGCCGTGTAGATGCTGCCCTGCTGAATTTGAGGGAGAAGGTCTCTCAGACCCCTTGAGCGCATTGCAAGTTTTGCAGAGAGGCTACAGTTTCAACTTTCATGGTGGTCACCTGTGTTGGGGATTGGGGCTGGGACTTTTCTGTGATCCTGCTGCTTTTAAGTCGCCCATTCTCTTTTCAGTAACTCAACTTGGTAGACCACTAATAAAATATTCATTGTTTCACCAAATTGGACTTCATTGTAGTTGTGACTTTGTTCTGCCATGGGTGCCCTTTCTGGGGTGAATAGAGCCGCTTGTCTTGTGTCTCCCCAATGATGGGGAAACTATCAACCAATCACATCCAATTAGGGTGTGGCTACCTGGGGCCCAAGTAGAAATACTGGGAGATCCAGGTGCACTGCTTTCTCTCTGCGCGGAGCTCGCTGGATCTATTGGATTTTGGACCTCCCACTCTTGTAGCGTGGGTTTCCCCTTTTCAACTATTGAAAATATAACTGTTGTTCTTGAGCTGGTCTAGTTATTTATTGTGCCGACCTAATTCGTCAGCACCCCAGGACCAACTCTCACACAGCACAGGCGCAGACAGATGGGGAGCTAGTAATATGATATCAAGGATCATGGAGGGGTAGAATAAATTTTGTCAGTTATTGAAATTTATATTTCTTCGAATGTCCCTGACATGTTTATGTGTTTTATAGATTCAGACACCACCCTCTCATTCTTTTCTTCCTTTCTACTAAATAAATACCCCCTAGAGTGTATGTGTACAAATCCATAGGGACCCTGAGAATTTGGAATTGGTGCCTAAGATATAGCAAGTTGAGCATTGACAGTAATACGAACTGCTGCCACAGTTACACATCTGTCTTTTGGTCTAGAAAGGTACTTTCCAAATAACTGCGAGGAACAACTGTTCTCTTCTGAGATCCCCGAGATTTGAGCGGCTGATGGAGTGCCTTTGAGAAGGTTGGCATTGTGAGTAGTAGTGAGGATACTGACTTAACTGCATACCCCGGTTTCATTGCAGCAAAGGGAAGTGTTTGAAAATTCATTTGTCATTATACAGGTTACCTCATTCATGTGTGAAAAAGACGAAGAACTTTAGAAGCTGCTCACCTTGCAGGCGATCTTTTTCATGGACTCGAGGAGATTTCTGTTTATAGTCTTTATCTCCAAGGCTTTCGTGAGGATGGGAGGAGTGCAGCCCAGTTTGTCAGCCATTTCCGCCCACAGGTGGTGCAGCGCATCGACCCAGGCTTGCAATAGAGTGCGCGCCAGCGTCAGTAGGACTTCAGACTAAGCAAGCACAATTGAACAATCTCATCAGAACAAAGGAAACGCAGTTGAGTTAGATAGAGACAGGCAGTTGATGCTCTAGTAGCTGAAATGGGCTCTTCCTTGGTCATTCATAGGCTTATTTAGAACATTCTTTTGGTAGAGATTTTATTAAGCTTCAACTGTAGCCAATGTCCTCATGCTATAGAATTTTGACAAAGTTAAATTCAGAAATATCAGAGGAGTGTTTTATGAAGTTTCTAGCCAAGTAATAACTCTTAGCAATGTCATTTCTTCCTTGACTTTCCTCTTTCTCTTATTGTGTTATTAATATCATTATAAGTAATGAACAAAAATATAGACATACAAAATGCTGGTAACACTAAGAAAAATGACGAAGGTGCAATTTATCTTGGGGAAATTTTGGATTTGTGATAATGTTCACTGTAAATCATTTGCTTCACAGAAGGGAATCAGAAGTGAGAGACAACAAACATAAGTAGAGTCAGCACTGCACACAAACTCATCCCAAGAGCAGCTTGTTTTATCTTGAGGAGCATCAGACTGCATTTTACACGACCCCTTTCCTCAAGTGACCTCTAGACTTACAGTTATGGCATAGGGAAGGGTAGGGAGGTCAGAGAGGAGAGGGAAGTTATGCAAAGAAATAGAAGTAGATCCAGGGAAGACATAAAGGCCAAGAATAGATGATAAAGTGTTCAGTAATGTTAAAGTCTGCCAACACAGGAACCCATGTAGCATATGAGGAACCCACTGCCATTAGTGCTTCATTTGCAGATACATCCATACATTCATCCATCTATCTATCTATCTATCTATCTATCTATCTATCTATCTATTAAAGATTTCTGCCTCTTCCCCACCACCGCCTCCCATTTCCCTCCCCCTCCATACATCTTTAACCATGAACTCAGAGTTGGCTCACACTTAATACAAATCACTAAGTGCAATATCAGGTGCAAGGCATTAGTAAAATGGGTGTTCTGAATGGATAGTGTATAGATCTGCTATAATATTACTTAACAATGACTTCATGTAATTTTTTCCAATGGGATTGGTTTTTTTTTTGATTTGTCATTCCTTTTCTAATTTTTATTTTTTCTACATGATTGCCATATACTATTATACTGTCATATAATGTAAGTAATAAAAGTGCATGGGAAAGCCAGTGTACTGCTTCAGTTGTTTTGGTAGCAAACCAAGGCTGAGAACTCACTTCAATATTTTGTGCTTGCTCCTTGTTTTTTGGTCTAGAGAGGGAAGAAGTGTGGCATCTGATGATCCTCTTGTTAAATCCACGGCCTTGGGCATAAAATTTATTCTGAAATGATGAAACGTTCAATTAGTTGTCATTTCTAAGTTGAGTAAATGAACCAATGACTTGGGCATTAATGTTTTAAAATTAAATGACCTTGAAATAAAAATAAGGAATGAGGCAAGTAACTTTTTATTGACTTATTTTCATTTTAATTATAGTCTCTTTTTTGATTTTCTGGTTCTCTAATCTCTCAATCTCCTTCCCTTCTTGTTACTCTTATCTTTTCTAAACATTACTATGTGGCAAGCAGGCACTAAAACCTCATCTATGGTCACCTGTTTAACTACTCTCAGATAGATGGCATATTGCCTTCAAATAGCTTCACCATGACCATGAGTAGGAGATCTACCTTCAACTCTAAACTAGACCCGCCATCTTAAGCTCAGGTCTTGAAATTCATTCTAGGATAGTTCTTAGCATTTGTGGGTTTCTGATGTTACTTGCTTATTTTTCTTCTTCATCAACTATTTTTAGTCTTTTAATTTCTAGTCAACCACCTAAATTCATTGTGAAACAGTTCTCCTTTATTGGAAATTTATTGTGTCCTAAATGAAAAACATTAAAGGACATATGTCTCCTATACAAAAGAATAGAAAACACAGTTTTATACTCATGAGTTTTGTACTAGAAGAGGAAGTTGAAGGAAAAGTTAAAATATTGAGAAAAAAATCATTGTATTCTTATCAAGCATTTTACATTTTATCAAACTGTGCTGTTCTTCTACTTCACATTTCAGTAGCTTAAGGTTATCCCTGTGAAGGTATATTATGTTGAGATCAGCCCATGATGCTTTTCTGATTTCTGCTATGAAAAACACAATGTAAAGACTTCAGAGATCAGCAAGGATACTTACAACGTAAGTAGACAGTTCTGAAATTAGGTGATTCATATCCTGGCTTAACTTGATTGCCCAATTCAACATGTTCCCTGTGGGTGAGTGGTAGGAGATATTCCACACTGTAACATTCACAGAAGAGGTCTTATTCGCCCCTTGGACCATGGACACCAGCAGCAAGAGCAGTGTCCCTGTTAAAGAAGAAGATCACTCTGAGGTCTCTTCCTATGAGGTTATCAAGAGTCACCCTGTCTGGGCAAGCAGAAGATGCTCCCGGTGTCTTCCTTGACATAAATCGGTACTTCTTGTCTGGGTGGAGGAATAGCCTCTTCTGTGGTATATATTCAACTAAGTAATTATATCTGCACAGGTGTGTAGCTTGAAAAGAAAATGGATGACTATCTTGCATCTTCTGTTACTTTTAAGAATGCTTTTCTATTTTTCCAAACATTTTTACCTTAACTTAAAGCTGAACTAGGGTGAGCTAGTCCTTCTCTTTAAGTAGATTAATGTCTTGGGGTTTCTGGTTGTTTTTCAGTGTGAAATTCTCAGTTGTTTGTCCTTTTTAATTCAGTGTCAAGTAGAAAAATTTTGGGCACTGTTGTGTCAAGGAGGGTGTAGTTCATGGTTTCGTTCATTTTGTTTGTCTGATTTAAATAAAGACATGGTGCTAGCATTGCTGACAAGGAGGAGGAAGGCAGCTCTGCCATGACTACAATGTCATAGTATGAATTTTCTCTCCCACCCACAGTCATGTTATAGCTTTGTTGCTTCGTCAAAACCTTCAGCTTATTTCCTCTGAATCTGATGTCTACAATAACTTTCTGAGTATTCTGGACCTTCATAACTATGATTACATTTTATTATTAAAAGATGGTGTACAAAGTTGCCTGATTGTCCATTGTCCTAGGACCAGTATGTGGAGACAGAACAAGTGCATTGTGGACTTTCCATTTTACTTATCACACCTTGCACAGCTCTGAACGCTCACTGTGCATCTTTGCATACCCTACATATCTGTGAACTCTCATTGTGTGACTTTGTAGTCCTGAGCCTCCTGAAGTTGAAGGCTATCTGAAGTTATTTGCCTTACATAGAAAGAGTGACACATTGCTTGTAGATCGCCTAGGAGTCAGTTGTGGCTACTTTTCCCTGTTCTGTGTAGCGCAAACCTTTTTAGTTTGTGACAATGCTAACTGATGATTTCGTTATCATCATCGGTTCACTTTTAATTATATTGACTGATACATAGTTGTAACATATTAATAATTTGTACTTTCAAAAGGATGAACAGGTTTGTATGTATATATGTATGAAATTTAAGTCTATCTTCATTAGTCACATTAACCTGAAAGATTTCTAATTCAAAATGTGAGTTTAAGACCCTAATGTTCACATAACTTTTGATAACTGCAGCTGGAAATTTGCAACATAAAAATAGGGAATTGGTAAAGATTCATGCATAGTAAAACCCCTAAACAGAAATACTAAAAAAAATCCTTTATAAGCCAAGAATCATGAAGCATATAAATCAATCTTCAAAATCTTGCTAAAAATAAGATATCATCAAATAATTTATATCACATATGTTAAAGTTTAAAAATTCATAGCAATTTCCCAAATTTATTTGTGTACAACATATATCTCTCTATAAAACATGCCTATAAGTATTCATTATATGTATTATCGGTAGGACTATCACAGCCTAAGATATTGTAACATCCATCTTATCATTATTACTAATACTTAAAAATGCCATGAAGACTCTAGAGACAAATACTTAATCCTTACATGTTTTTCTTTTGAAGTGGTATTTTGGCAGAATGAAATTTTCAAAGCTGTGTGGTCTGCATATCTGTTAGGCTTGTCTAAATCAGTCTTCTCCACTGAAAAGCTCTTTTGATTCATTCCTATATAGCAACACGTGGAGGTGACCCCAGAAATATTACCACCCATAGACTCTTGTATTCTCATTTTAACAAATGTCTTTATTTCTTCAATTTTACATTTTTGTTCATCCCGTGCTTTGTAATGGAAGTGCCACAGAAACATTCTCATTTTCCACACCCTTGGCATAAGAAACTCTACCGTTTCCTAACTCAGGTCAAAGAAAGCATAGGATGTTTAAACTAAGCTTGGTAAAATAATGCACTTCTTAATCTTATCTCAAGGAACATGAGTAAAAGCAATACTTACAGAAGCAACATTGCTGAGTCAAAGACAGATGCATCTCTGAAATGTCTCCCTGCAGCGTGGATACCCAAGGAGGAGGCTTCTGTTCAATTAAGTTTCCACATCTTATATACTTAACCACATCACCTTCAGGCCACACACTGCTGGGGAATTGGGGGAAGAGTATCCAGAATCTCAGTGAGATTCCTGTGACTCTACTCCCTTAGGGAATTGTAAAGGCCTCATGGCCATGGCCAGAGACCTAGTTATATGTACATTCCTTTGCTTATTTCTTAGCCATGGCTGAAGAAGAAATTATATTAAAGGTCAACACAAGGAGAATTACGGTGCCTTAACTCTTGGACTTTTTCTTTTGATTCTCATACAGCTATGCCACCTCTGTAATTTTCTCAGATCCTCAGTGGTATGATATATTTATTTCATCAGTTTCCTAGCATTTGAACACCAGGCAAAAGTCACTTATTTTTAAGTTTAACATTTAAAAGGCTTTGTTAATATCAACGGAATACTATAAAAAAATTAGCTCTATACCCTAGACTGAAACTAGAAGTAATATATAGTTGCAAAGACACATTTATACGACTTCTTATTTGTTTATTTGTTTGTTTGTTTGTTTGTTTGAGACAGGGTTTCTCTGTAACTTTGAAACCTGTCCTAGAACTAATTTGTGTAGACCAGGCTGGCCTCGAACTCACAGAGATCTGTCTGCCTCTGCCTCCTGAGTGCTGGGATTAAAGTGCCACCACTGCTCATTTTTATTTGTTTGTTTGTCTTTGGTAAAAGATAGTTTAATGGGGGACATTATATCCTTTTAGTGAAGCAACTGTTAAAGCTTCCCTGTTGGAATCGAGGGCATCTCTGTCAGATTTGCAGCCATCATTGTGGCTGAAGAAAACATTAGTTCCCTCTGTAGACCTAGGTTTAAATACAATCAAAATGTAGTTGACCCTTCACCCAAGAGTTTTATCACATTGAACAAATTTATCATCCAAATTTGAATTCATCTTGAATGAATTGTGTTAACAAAAGGTGCATTAGATTCTTTGACATACTTGATCCCAGTAACAAGCTTCATGTTGTCTGGCATCATGAAATTTAGACAGCATCATGGGACCTTCTGCTTAGTCTCCCCGTTTTTCTTCAGAGTTATGTGGTATCTCTAGTATTAATCTAACCTTTCAGTTTTGGTATGATCCAGGAGCAAGGGCAACAGACTGCGTGGTGTGATGGGCCATAAGGACCTCTCTAGTTGATACTGCTTAATAAGTCAATTACTCTCAACTAGAGTCTTTCAATAAGCTTATGCCTTGTGGGAATGCTTTTTCCTACCATGTCTGCTATCTTTTCTGTTCCTGTAATTGGATTTCCATATTGATTGATTTGATACTGGATATTAATATTATGAATGCAATGTTTTTCAGTGCATGAAGACAATCTCTAAAGGGGCACTGTTGTTTGTTTCAAACAAATGCAAATTGATAATCGTATTCTGAGTCTAAAGAAATCTGACACAAAACAAGAAATGATCTCACAGTTTGTTCCAGTTTCTTCCAAAGAGCATCCTGGGTACAGTGTGTGGGTGAGGGATGCTATGTTATTTAGCTTTCAGTAATGCACGCTCATTCCTCATTAGTCCATTTCCTTCTCATCCTGTGGCGTTTCTGCAGGACCATGGATCCAAGCAGCTAGCGGAGCAACTCTCACCAATTATCCTAGCCATTGGTTAAGAAGGATAGAGGAGTTTTCACACTTGCCTGGTCTAGCTGTTTGCTCCAGGAAGGCCCTATGGCCACTGCCTCCCTATTGACAGTACTTATCTGGGTCAAAGGGTCACACGAACAATGCCTACTCACACCAGATCTCATGTCCCCCAAAAATGTGTGCTTAACTTATAGTCACTCTTTTAAACAATATTCTCTATCTATGCAACGCCTCTTTGCACTACACACTTATCACAGCACAGCTTCTTTATATGGAGATAATGTACAGTAGATACCAACTCTGGTTCGTATAATTTCTACATCTGGGATAAGTATAAAACCTATTTCTGTTTAGAGTTCTGTATCCTCACTCAAGCACCATGGCTAACTATTCCCTGTGTATATCAGAATTATGAGTTAACACTCATTTGGCTCCAGCATTCACCCAAAACAGTGGTTTGCCTGACAGTAAGAAATTCACAAGTGTCTCATTGGATATTGTATCTCTAGTTACATAACGTGGCCTGTTCAGGCAGGCGACATCTGTTCTGTTAAAAGCTCCCACCATCAGAGGACTCCTTCATGGTCTGCTGATGTCCCCAAGTGTTCCATATTCTTTCTTCATCATTGAAAAATCTACATGATCTTATTTTAGAATGCCCTAGTAATATTTGAATGAGTTTCTAAACCACTTCTCTCTTTTTATATTTTTCTTTTTATTGAAACAGATTCTTTTCATATATGTCCTGATTTCTGCCCCCCCCCAATACTCCTCCCAGTTCCTCCTTACTTCCACTCAGAACCAGGTCTACCATCTCTGTCTCTCTTCGGAAAACAACTAGGCTTCTAATGGAAAGTAATATAATATGGTAAAAGAAAAACTAACATATAAATTGAATGAAACAAACAGAAAGAAAAGAGCCTGAGAGAAGGCACTAGAAGCAGATATAGATGCAGAGTCCCACTTGTTTGTGCAATCATCAATGCCCTAAAAACACTAAATTGGAGGCATAATATATACACAAAGTACGAATAAGGTAAAAATAGAGAAAAAGAAGAAGTAAAATAAAAAACATAAGATCAGGCATTGGGGTGAGTTTCTGGCCCACGGCGCCAGCCTGGGACGGGGAGCTCGGGGGTTTCTTGGCCCCCTGTCCTGCTTGGGCTCTCTGCAGGGCCTCTACTCCCCGGGTGCTGCCTCTTTCTTCCTGGCCCACCCAGCTTCCGTCCAGAGCCCTCCCCACTTCGCCCCCACTACCCTCTTTTGGCGCGTGGCATCGCCCAGCGCAGCCTATCTGGGCGCTGGGTCCGAGTACCCGGGGCTCCCGGGCGGGCAGCAGTTCCTTTGTTTCTGTGGCCTGCCTGCACCAAGCGGGGTAGGCGCTTTGTCTGCGAGCTGCCCAACCAGCACGGAGGCCTGATCTTTCGGCGCCAGGAGACCCAGCATTGGGGTGAGTTTCTGGCCCACGGCGCCAGCCTGGGACGGGGAGCTCGGGGGTTTCTTGGCCCCCTGTCCTGCTTGGGCTCTCTGCAGGGCCTCTACTCCCCGGGTGCTGCCTCTTTCTTCCTGGCCCACCCAGCTTCCGTCCAGAGCCCTCCCCACTTCGCCCCCACTGCCCTCTTTTGGCGCGTGGCATCGCCCAGCCCAGCCTATCTGGGCGCTGAGTCCGAGTACCCGGGGCTCCCGGGGGGCAGCAGTTCCTTTGTTTCTGTGGCCTGCCTGCACCAAGCGGGGTAGGCGCTTTGTCTGCGAGCTGCCCAACCAGCACGGAGGCCTGATCTTTCGGCGCCAGGAGACCCAGCATTGGGAGAGTCAACATTGGGGAGAGACAGCGTTTGGTAGGCAAGGAGACCTAATCCGGTAAAAGAAGATCCATAGGGAGCATTTGGAAGAAGAGATGGGCCGACGTCAAGGCAAGAATTCGCCCAACAAGCTGAAAAGCAACATGAAGCTACCAGAAACAAGCGACCTCACAACGGGAGGACAAGAACCCCTTAATCAAGAGGAAGGAGAAAAGATTGACTTCATGAAAGTGATTGACACCCTTAAACAGCATGTAAAAAACGCCCTTATAGAAATGGATGAGAAATATAACAGAAAGTTTGAAGAATTGAATAAATCAGTGAATGATACCCTAGAAAACCAAGGAAAAACAATCAAACAGATAATGGAAACAGTTCAAGACCTGAAAACTGAAATGGAGGCAAAGAAGAAAACACAAACAGAGGGCCGTCTGGACATGGAAAATCTAGGTAAACGAATAGAGACTACAGAAACGAGCATAACCAGCAGAATACTAGAGATAGAAGAAAGACTCTCGGATTCTGAAGATACCATAGAGAAAATAAACACACTGATCAAAGAAAACAGCAAGTCCAACAAACTCTCATCACAAAACATTCAGGAAATATGGGACACAATAAAGAGACCAAACCTAAGAATAATAGGAGTAGAAGAAGGAGAAGAAGTGCAGCTCAATGGTCCAGAAAATCTATTTAATAAAATTATAGAAGAAAACTTTCCCAACCTAAGGAAAGATTTTCCTATGAAGGTGCAAGAAGCATACAGAACACCGAATAGGCTGGATCAAAAAAAAACATCCCCTCGCCATATAATTATCAAAACACAAAGCATACAGAATAAGGAAAGAATATTAAGAGCTGCAAAGGAAAAAGGCCAAATTACTTATAAAGGTAAACCTATCAGACTTACACCTGACTTCTCCATGGAAACCATGAAAGCCAGAAGGTCCTGGATAGATGTACTGCAGAAACTGAGAGACCATGGGTGCAAGCCCAGATTACTATACCCAGCCAAGCTTTCATTCACTATAAATGGAGAAAATAAAATTTTCCAGGATAAAAACAAATTTAAACAATACGCAGCCACAAATCCAGCCTTACAGAAAGTAATTGAAGGAAAATCACTAACCAAGGAGTCCAACAATGACCACAATAACTCAGACATCTAGAGACCCTTCACCAACACAAAACAAAGAAGGGAAACACACAAACTCTACGACTAAAAAAAAATGACCGGAGTTAACAACCACTGGTCATTAATATCACTTAATGTCAATGGACTCAACTCACCTATAAAAAGGCACAGGCTAAGAGATTGGATAAGAAAACAGGATCCAACATTCTGCTGTTTACAAGAAACACACCTCAACCACAAAGACAGGCACCTACTCAGAGTAAAGGGCTGGGAAAAGGCCTATCAAGCAAATGGACCTAAGAAACAGGCAGGTGTGGCCATACTAATCTCTAACAAAGTTGACTTTAAACTTAAATCAATCAGAAGAGATGGAGAGGGGCATTTTATACTCATAACAGG